TTATCACTTGCAAACAAAAAAGTCTTAAACAGATATGCCCAGGAAGTGGACAGGCCAGCAATGGCCTATGCTTTGTGGCTGGCGAAATAATCAAGTGGCTAAAATTACCCTTTGCACCCCCTGTGGGCTAGAGACTCTACTCAAAGTTGATTTCATGATTCTAGAGTGATCATTTTGTACCATTTGACTATTAACAGCTTGAGAATAGAACCAGGTCTCATCCATCTGCCCCAGCAGCTACCTGGGTCCAGGTGAATAAAAAAGTTCTTCATACATAACTTGTGTGAATGAAAAGCTTCTGATTTAGTGTAGTAAATGAGTACTGTTGCTATGAGCAAGTAAACAGACTAGGGAACTTATACATTTAGCCTCTTAGGAGGTGTCTTCTTGGTTCGAATGTGTCCCCCAAGTTCATGGGTTGGGAATTTAATCCCAATGCAGCAGGGTTGGAGGGAAGGCCTAAAAGGAGGTGACTGGATTATAAAAGCAGAGCCCTCATGAATAGATTAACATCATTAATGTGGGAGTGGGTTAGTTATTGTGAGTGCAGGTTGTTATAAAAGGGAGTCTGCCCTTGCGTTCTTTCTTTTCCACTTTCTATTATGTGAAAACCCTGGCCAAATGCTTGTGCTATGCTCTTGGACTTCCCAGCCTCCAGAACCATAAATTTCTTTTCTTTATAAATTACCTGGTCTGTGTTATTGCACTACAGCAACAGAAAATTAATGAACTTAGTGGCATAACAGTGGACTCCTGAATTAACAAGAGACTGCAACTTGAGTGGTTTTGATGGGAATGACAAGAGTGGCTGAGGCTGGCAAAAGATCTTGTTCTTTTCTGCAAAGAGGCCCTTGCTTAAAGACTCACCAGAGATTTCATCAGAAAGGACAGGCCCTGGAGTTGCAGCAAGCTACCTTAATGAAGAGGTCCTGTCTCCAATCCTGTTGTAATGAGCATAAACATGAGAAGCAGCATGATAAACTGTAAAGACCATAGCTTTGGAGTCATACAGGCTGCGTTCCAACTCTGGCTCCTCCACTTAGCTAATCTGGGGCAAGCTACTCAATCTCTCAGAGCCTCAGTTTTCTCATCTGTAGGATGGAATATGATAATGGGACTTATCTTCAATGGATGTATTGAGAATCCATGAGAAACACTGGCTGAAAAAGTGTTTAATCTGGTGCCTGGGACAGAAGTAGTGGTCAATAAACAATTCACACACACACATAAACAAAAATCCAAGTGGCTGTGTTACATGTGTAGACAACAAACACTAAAATGTTGCATATGCCTTGACATAACTGTATCAAATGGCCCCCTGGCCATTTGTTGTCTTAAACTTTTGAAGACACTTTCTGCATATGAAAGCTCCTGCCCCCAACCTGCCTTTGCTTTGACATTTCCAGTCGGTTTTCCCAGCAGTCATCCTGTAGTTACCCTCTGCAATTAGTCTTCCCCATAACTTTGATCTTCACTTTGTTGGAGCTGAGCTACAGCGCACTTGAGAGCTGGTTACGCTGGTTACTGGGGGAAGCATGCAGACAGCGCGAATTGGAGAGTAGGAACTCTAGCTGAGACCTCTCCACCCCACGATGTGCCACCTCACCCTCTCAAAAACCACTGGATCATGTTTGAGAAAAGTTAAGCTGTTTTATTTCACAGGATAGCTCCACGTCAAACCAGCAGGCACCATCAGAATGCGCAACAGAGGATCCAGTCAGACACTCTACAGGACGGGCGTTTGGTCATAAGGTAGAGAAACGATATCCGGGAGAGGGCAACACTTATCATCACATGGGGACAGGCAACCAGCAATTTCCTAGGGTGGTTTTGGTTTGTTTTTCCTGTCACAATTTGGGGAAGGAACCAAAGGAAACAAAATAGACCAGCCACTCTGAAGCAATCAGAATCAAACCTATTGCCAAACCATGTAAACAGTCACACTGCCGGGGACTAGGGCCTGAGCAGAAACTCAAGCCGGGATCTACTTCCATCCAAGGAAGGAGAAGTGCACTCTGGTTGTTCTGGTTCAAGGAACAGCTTTGTTATTTGCCTGGGACAGTTCACACAGAAAGGAGGTGTCAGCAAGGGGCAGCGATGGCCATTTGGCCAGTCCCAGAGGATGGGACAGCGGGACACTGGCAGCTCAACCTCAGAGAGGCCAGGAGGACTGAGACCTGACAGCCAAGTCCCTTCTCTCAGCTCCCCTGGGCAGCTTTGGGTATGTGGGGAATTCTCTACATGGCTGCTCAGAAGAGAGGAGACCCCAGAGAACCGGGGAAGTTGACATGAAACGTCAGCATTAGCTCTGCATAGCAGAAATCGGCTAAGCAACACCTCGGCTCACCCCCTCCTGCCTTTTCCTCCCCACGACCCACCCTCCCTCCCAGCCCAACAGGGCCCAGCACCATGGTTGTGAGCCAGCCATTCTTCTTTCTGGGTTTCTCAGGAGAAGGAGGCATTTGCTCTAAAGTGGAACCATCTGGATGTATGAAAAGTTAGGAGTAGAAAGACTGAGAGGAAGAACCATCACATCAGTCTTCATGGTTTTCCATTAGCTGTGTACGTGCACCAAGTGCCTGATAATGACCAGGTCACGAAAAGTCCTCCACATTCATGCCTCCTGCATGAGAAAGAAATACACCCCACAAGGCACTCCAAGGGACCCCAGCAGAGAAGAAAGCCCTACGGAAAGGCCTTTCCCCACACTGGCTCCCCTTCGGGTACCACAAACCAGTTTTAAGTGTTTGTAAGGCAGATCTCTGAACTGCTGGTTCCAGCCGATAGCCAAAGGATGGCTCCATTTCCCTGTGTCTCTTCCCACTCTGATTTCTTCATTGAATAGAAACCTTTCATCCCTTGGGAATCCATTTCTCTCCTGCCCCCTGGCCTGGCGACTTCAGAGAAAAGACTCCCAAGTCTAATTCCCAAGCCCACAATTCCCTCCAATTGTGTGCACTCTGTCCGGGGTTCAAAAGGCGCTTCAAGGTGAGAAATCGTTAGCACTGAAAACAAGGAAAGGCAAGAATTTTTCATAGAATCCCACAGCTCAGAGCAGCTCTTTAAGAGGAAAAGGGAAGAAGGGGGGAGTAGGGTAGGAAGCACAGCTTGTTCTCAATTTTATCCAAGAAAGTTCTTTAGCGGCAGCTGGGCCACAGGCCCAGGAAACTAGACCAGGAATTAATTGTCTTTGGTCAGTTTTAAATGAACATCTTGCTGGTTCATTCCTAAAGTAGACTGAACATCGGTTATACATAAAGACAAAAGGCTTGAGCTCAGGATAAGTCGAAGGTTAAGAAATCATTCCGTGAAGCAAACAAACAAACAAAAAAAATGCCCGTTATCAACTAACTGATCAGTACAGCTTTCAATAATGATGATGAACAAGTAGGTAAACACCACTTTCCCTTGTACAATTGGTTATATTGAGGACTACTAACTAGGTTACTACATTTCCCCCACACTCACTGTACAGTTAGGTTTCTGGTATTTGTTTTTACATTGATCTATCTACTAGGTGCAAAGATTTGGTGAGTGGCATTGGCTATAATTTAATTGTAGCCTTTTGAAAAATTACAGTTTCACATTTGAACAGTTACTTTCCAGCATTTAAGCAAATACAGCAATATATAGTGGACTTAAACAGGCAGGAGTCAGGAAAAGAATGCCAACGTTCAGTGAATGTGGATGGGACTGGGCCATGTGCAGGGTTAACTGAGATGTGCCTGGAGCCAAACGGGGAAGCGGGGAGGCAGGAAGTATTTTTCCACTTGGTTCGGGTCAGACTTGCTGCTGGATGAGTGGGGACGTGTCTGCCGTCTGTGCATGCACGTCCCTAAAGGTAAACTCACCAGCCATTCCCCAATGGGAAAAAATAGGTGCTGAAAGAAAACAGCATAGGCTCAGCCTCCAGGGAATTCAGTGAACGTAAGGAAAAATGAAATCAGTTGATTCGGAGAAAAATGCACGCCGTCTGACTGGTTTTACGTCTACTGCGGCAGAAGGCAACAGATTCGTCTACTCAAATTTTTGCATTTCATCTAGTAGTCATGGTAGAGAAATGTGACACTTCACACGGGAGGCTACTGATTTTAAGGTCTCGGAGTGGCTCTGGGGTAGAAATAGAAAGTCTTGTATCATAGCTGGACAGCATTAGCATCCTTTTAAGTAAAAATAGGTGAATTTAGGAGCCTTATGCAGCCTCTACCCTCGGCCAGCTGACAAACCCTGGGCAAATCACAAAACATAGCCCAAGGCCTTATTCTCCCAAGCTGTAAAATGGGGTTGTCTTTATGTGCTCTGGGCCTTTCGTATCCAGGTGCTAAAAGAGAAAGATGGCTTTGAGCAAAACAAGGGAGGTCAAGTTTGTCCTTGGCCTCTCCCTGACATTCTCTTTTTGTACCTTTTCTTAATTCTTCCTTCCACTGGTCTCAAGTCCAGTCCCTCAGACAAGATAGAACAGTTTACTACTCCCACATACCCAGGTATCAGTCACTTACTAGGTCCCTCCCTTTGGGTGTATTTAGCTCCATACGGAGGACCAGGGGAGAGGGTAAAACTTAATCTGATGGGTTGATGTGCTAATGATGGAATTCAGGGCTTTTAGTCAGCTGGTAGGAAAATTGCACCATCTTATTCCTAATCGATTAGGAGGTTTCAAAAAGGTTTGGATGGTGTTAGACCTAAAAGACTTACCATACTAATGATAATCACAAGAGTAATAATCGTATTGGTACCGCGTTGTCCCTTCTGCACAGCCTGTCCACTTCCTTTTGATCTTTATTTTCCTCATTTTATAGAGCAGAAAAGTGAGGCTCCATGAAATGGAATGACCCGCCCCAAATCACCCAGTGTTGGCTGGGACAGCAACTCTGCACTTTGGAACCTAAACCTCAATGGCCTCGGAGAGAGGGATAGAGATGGAACCTGGGGACAACAGGAAGGGGACTGGGCCTGGCTTTTGCAGGGGAGCGCGGGGGGGGGGGGCAGTAAAAGTGCCCTCCCTGGAAAACAAGAGCTCAAAGGAGGAGGTGAAATGGTGAAATGGAATCTAATAAGAGTGACCCAAACGCCTTTTCCCAGCCGAGAGGCGGAACCTGGCAAGTTCTCCTTGAAGATCATGCACCCGTCTCTATCATCATGTTCTCATCTACTTCAAATGCTCAGGAGGGAGTGGGGAAGGGGACACTCACTAGGAGAGGGGAGGGAGTGAAGCTCTTTCTCTTGTATAAACTGAACCATCAGTGTTCGCTGGGACAGAAAGTGCCAAGGAGAATCCCCTGCTCCACCCGGGTCTGAACTGGGCACTTACAGCTGGTGCACTTCACGCAAGAGGGCACCAGCCAAAGCGCCGCACAGCCTGATTTTAAATGAAAGCGATGTGACTCAAAGCCTCCTTGCCTGTTTAGTTCCAAATCTGACACAATATAATTAGTAGAACGAGGAAAAGAAAAATTTAAATATTTTGAGAATGATATAAGTTAAACCTCTATAGTTACCACAGATTTATTCCTACAGCGTCTCTAGGTTTTGAAGTATTCCACACCACTGTATTTTTTTTTTTTTTCCCAACCACGTGTAATACTGTGCTACAGACGGGGCTTAGGTTTTCACTATCCCGTTTCTACACACAAACACAAGGATGCGGTGGTCAGGGGTCTTCTCGCCAACTTCTCCCATGCCTTCGGGGGTACAGTTGGCCTTTGGCCTCCGGGTGGATGGGCAGGGTCTCTGGGGTAGGTGGGGGGAGGGGACTGTTTTCTATGAAGGGTTCCCCACCTCTAGGAGCAGCCTGCTTGGGGTGCTGCCTGCCCCACCCTCTGTGAGGGGCAGACTGTTCTGGAAGGCCACGACTTCTGGAGACAGTGGGAGACTGGTTGTGTTTTCTGCAGGTTAGTGGTCTATTGCTTCACTCGCAGTTACTATGGGCTTCTAAATTCTCCCAGAAAAGTCCCTGCAAATCCCACCAAATAACTCAGTGGGAGATGTTTGGTGGCATGGGTCTGAGGTAAATCTAAGTTTCATAAAAAGAAAAAGGAGATACTATATACATTTAGTATGTGTGTGTCCAAATCTAGTATATGTATAGAGATGCATAAATATATATATATACACACACACCTACTGACACATCCGTACATATATGTGTATATCGCACACACATATACACACACATATAGGTCTGCAGAGAGCACGTCGAGAGGAATTCCAGTGATATGCGGAGAGCCACGTAGCACTTTGCCTGGATCTTGGGGAACACTGGTGGGGCTGCTCTTGCTCCAGCACTCCTCGGGGTGTCCGTTCACACAGGAGAGAGGTCCGTGGGATTCCCATGGCTGAAGGTGAGCCGCAGCCAGCGCCTGGCCCTCGGCTCTGCAAGGACGCTCGGCGCCCCCAGCCTGACCGCTGCCCCACAAGGCCGCCGGGATCACTGGGAAGCCCGTGGAAGCCACCCGGCCACCCTGGGCCGCGCTGAGCCACGGTGGGCCGCGGCGGGGCCGCCGGTCCTCAGGTCACATGGTGCCCGACTTGTCTGCGGAGGTGTTGGGGAACATCTTCTCGGTGGGCGTCACGGCCGGGCTGCCCACGCCCGAGCTGCTGCTGCTGCTGGACCGATGCTGGACCACTGGCCGCACGGGCCGCATGGGGGGCGGGCGCAGCTGGGCGCCGGCCAGGCGGGCGGACAGGGCCGGCTTGAAGGTGGTCATCATCTCGGTGGAGGAGCTGCTGCTGCGACGCATGGCGGCATCGGGGTCGCGGATGACGATGGTGTGCAGGGGGCTGGCGGGTTCCGAGCTGATGGGGCCTGGCGGGTTCTTCAGGGGCTCCAGGGTGTCCAGCACCACATCCGGCGCCTGCTTGACCGTGTTCTGCCTCTCGAGTTCCCGCAACTCGTGCAGAGCCGTGCTCATGGTCTTCTCGATGTCCTGGGGACAGAGAGCACGGGGATCAGCAGAGGCCACAGGCCTAGGGGCCGATCCCCCCTGTCAACAAACCTGCTTGGGGGCCTTTTTTTTTTGGAGACAGAGTCTCACTTTGTCGCCCTGGGTAGAGTGCCACGGCGTCACACAGCTCACAGCAACCTCCAACTCCTGGGCTTAGGCGATTCTCTTGTCTCAGCCCCCCGAGTAGCTGGGACTACAGGCGCCCACCACAACGCCTGGCTATTTATTGTTGCAGTTCGGCTGGCGCTGGGTTCGAACCCCCCACCCTCGGTATATGGGGCTGGCGCCCTACCCACTGAGCCACAGGGGCCGCCCTGTGGGCCTTCTTAGGGAGGTTTCCAGGGAGCCTAATGGCTGGAGTAGAGACTAAGATCCCAGGGCGTCTTACCACCACCTGGGAGAATCAACGTGGGTATCCCCTACGCCCCAGGAAACGGACTTAGTAAGAGCAAGTCAGACTCCTAGTTAAGAGGGCAGGTTCTGGAATCAGACTCGGGTTCAAGTCCTCTGCCATTTCCTTTCTATGTGACCTTTGGCAAGCTTCATTACCTCTCTGGGCCTAAAGAATCCTCATTTTTAAATTACAGATAATTATAATACACTTCAGGGGGTTGATGAGTCTATTAAATAATATGGTTCTTGTTAAGAGTTTGGCATGACACCTGGCTCAGAAAAAGCACCAGAATTATTGATAATGACAATAGCAATAACAGCTGATGCTAAGCACCAACCCTAACCCTTTCCACAAATAATTCATTTAATCCTCATACTTATGAGATAGGAACTGCCATTATGCTCATGTCACGCATGAGGAAACTGAAGCTCAGACTGGTTAAGTAATTTGCCCAAGGCCAAACAGCTAATGAATAGCACAGCTCAAGTCTAAACCCAGGCAGTTTAGTATTATTTAAAAACAAAAACAAAGGTAGCACCCTTAGCTCAGTGAGTGGGGCACTGGCCACATATACCAAGGCTGGCAGGATCGAACCCAGCCAGGCCAGCTAAAACAACTGCAAAAAAAAAAAAAAAAGATAGGCAAGTGTTGTGGCGGGTGCCGGTAGTCTCACTTACTTGGGAGGCTGAGGCAAGAGAATCACTTAAGCCCAAGAGTTTGAGGTTGCTGTGAGCAACCTCAGCATTCTACCCCAGGTGACAGCTTGAGACTGTGTCTGAAAATAAAAAATAAATAAATAAAAACAAGAACAAAAAACAACTAAAAAAAAAACTTGTCCACAGAAAAATTAGTTCCAAGTTATATATCTGAATGTTCACAATCTCTATCCCAAAATAGTGACTTGCTACTTTCTTCTCTGTATCATAACATTTTTGATTTTTAAAATATGGAAATTTTGAAAAGCAAGAAAAATCTTAGTCTGTTTAATTTCTAAGGATGTTACATGTGAGCACTCATCAGTATGCGAGCACTCTGAAGGACCCAGGAGGAGAAACGGCACCCCCAGGCCAGCCTGGGCAGCTTGCTAAGACTCCTGTATCCTCAAGGCAGAGACCACACCAATTTAACCCAGGAGCCCTCAGAGAGGACACGAGACCTTGGACTTCTGAGTGAAAAGACTTCACAGCCACTCGCTGGCCGTGCAACCTTGAGAAGGAGTCAGTCACTTTGCACCACACTTTCCCCTCTGTGTTTACTGTGAAGATGGAGGGAGATGATGGATGTGATGAAGATTTGTAAACTGCCAGACGGTGGGTTGCAAACCCCTCCTGGCCCAAGTGTCCTTGGTTCCCATGACTGTTTACAGGGATGCTTTCACATCCAACTGACACAAGAGGACCTGTTTGAGGGCACAGGGAGGGATATTGCTAAAAACCACCACTGGCAGGTGCTTTGCACAACCTCACAGAGGAATGATAGTAAGACAGGCTCGATTTCAGCTTGATTTTCCACAAATCCTGAAAAAAACCTGAGTCTGGTGAGATGGATGGGAGTGGAGTCCAGCGATGCTGTGGCCGGACTCTTCCCCACCCTCCTCTTCCAACTGTCCTTCCCCTGTCTGCAGGTGGCCTCGGCCTACCCTGGACGGTGGCTCCGATCTGGCCACAGTCAGGCTCCCAAGCTCTTACTCACTCACTGTCCCAGCCAACCCTTTCTGCTCTGTTGAGGAGCTATCGATGTCCCACTAAGCTAATGTTACCTTTTATGCCAATTTTAGTCCTTGTCCCAGGACACTGGGAACTTTAAGAAGGGGCTTTTGTGCCTTATCCAAAAGGATGTGATGTGTTGGGGAATGGGGGGTGCTGCAGAAAGGGAGAGACAGCAGTCCTGTCCCTGGTTCTGCCACACCCCGGTCCCACAGTGACACGGCAGCTTTCCATGAGCCACCCTGTCATCACCCACTCTGCTTGAATTCAGTCCCCTAATGACTTCACTATTCTCTGTTTGCTCTAGTCCAGCATGAGCTGTGAGGTGAAACTTGAGTAAATAAAAAATAATTACCTCCTCTCCACCACCGTCCCCCAGGCCCCCCACCACTCTACCCTGGCAGAGCATGCGCAGAGATGGAAAGCTCAGAGAAAGCAGCTGAGTTGTTTAGGCAGGAGCCTCGCATTAGTCTGAGGGGTGAGTCCCCAGAGCAGAGCTTCAGAGAGGCACTGGGGGCAGGGTGGAGAAGGCTTCTCACCTCCTCCCAGAGTAAATCTTCCGCTTCTAATGGTTGTGTTTCAAGTTCCCCAAACAGGCTCTTTAACTGGGTTCAAATCTAAATCCTAACAGACATGTTGAGAACAGAGAATTTGGGGTAACTCTGCCTACTACTTTGGGTCTCCAACCCACTGCTCCCCTTTGCAGCCTGCAAAGTCAAGGACTCATCAGAGCTAATGCTGAGCAGGCCATCCTGGACTATTTACATATTGTTTACCACGCTGTCCCTTTTGACCTTGGTCAGCAAAAGGGGATTTTGATGGCAGATATCCAATTAGAGTGTAGACCCCTCTGCACACTGAGGCGTCTACACACTGCATGTAGCAGTCCCCAGGTGCATTCTTTGGGCTGGTCTTGCAAAATGCTCCATGAATGAAGGTCAAAGAAGTCCGGGAGATGGGATGTTCCCTGTTCTCTTTCTTGGAGATTCACAATGCACATCCACATATGTAAAAGTTCTAAGAAGTCTTGCAAATTAGCCATTCACCTCGGTCAGAGCAGCAATCTCAAAGTTGGTTGACCACAGAAACACTTATTTTCCACCTACCTCCTACCATCCCGTGGATGGGACCTACTTTCAGAAACAGCGCTCTTAAACTGCATTTGGTTCTTTACTATGGGAAGGGCTCTGGGCCAGGCCTCAGGCAGCCCCCCAGCATGACTGGTAGAACCTTCCAAACTGGTCAAGTTTCCAGATGATGGTGGCTGCTAGGGTGATGCTCCTTCAAGGATGGAGGGACCAGCAGGGAGCCGGCTTCCTCTGCTGGATGCATGCCAAGGCATTAATCTTCAGGGATCCCGAGAGCGGGCATCAGGACACGTGGCAGAGCTAGACCCCCATGTGTGGACAGAAGTTCTAGTTGCTAGGTGCATTGTGTCCTCCCTTGAACCTCCCTGGCCTCCACTGAGACTCAGCCCATACAACCTTTTCCCCTTCCCCTGTTGAACAGGGGACAAAAATCTCCACAATAGAATTCTCACAGCCCAGAAGGCTCTGCTTTGTTGCTGGGGGGAGGTTACATAATGGGTCCCCACCCCAAATTCCAAACAGGAAAGAAAAAAGGGAAACTTTTAGAAATATGACCGAAGTGTCCAAAGCACATGCTATCAGTTATATAAACTGTTAAACAAATCACAGCTCTATTCGTGTAAAAACCAGGTAAATTTCTCGTCCAAATACAACAAATAAATTAAAAGCAAACGAAAAAACCTATATTTGCTTTGAAGACTCTGGACATTCTTCCCTTCCAGCTTCAGCTATTTAGTTCTTCCTACCCTAGGTTTCAGCTTGTGTCCACCCCAGGGATGTCTCTCCCTCCTAGGTGGAACCCCCACATTTTAGGCTGTGTGGTACATGCTGTGTACCACTCCTTACAGGCACCCAGTCCAACTGCTATTTCACAGCTGTGTGTGTCTGTTGGTTGATGTCCCTCTCTTCTCAGAACTGTAAGCTCTGTGTGCACAGGGACTGAGTCCATTTTAAGTCTTCATTATACTATCAGTGCCCCGCGTGGTGACTGTCACACAATAGATGCTCAATCAATTGTCAATGAATGAATAGATGAATGAATGAACAGAGGAATGGATGAATGAGTAGATGAATGAATGAATAATTCGGTCAAGTCATCTTGTAGAGATACCTACCATTACCCCATCCCCGTTATCCCCTCTCCAGCCCTGGACACTGAGGGTGTTCAGACTTTGCAGAAACCCTAACCAGCAGCTGCAACCCACCAGCTTCTGCTCCCAAGGGAGGCCCAGCTGGGGAAAGGGCAGCCAGCTCCCTCTCTCATCAACAGGCTTAGCCTTGAGCCTGGAATGGGGTCATCAAGGTGGTTTCCCAATCCACAGGTTCCCATCCCGTTGCCCCTCAGAGGGGGGTCTTGGTTGGTCCCAGCCTGCCTTCCCACTGGCCCTTACTTCTGCCAGGGCCTCAGCCTCCAGGGACTTGTGGTCCCCTAGGCTGCTGTGTCTTGTGGAGCTGCAGGTCGACCTCATGGAGTGCCCTTCGGAGAGCGCCTTCTTGTCAGGGTAGTTGATGCTGCCGGCACTCCCAAACGTCGCCATCCTCCGCTTCTCGGGGCTCTCGATCCTCCCTCGGGTGAGGGGGATTTTGTGGGGGCTGCTGGGGCAGGCAGCAGCCCGGGGTGGCGTGTCTATGCTAGGGCCCAGGCCCCGTGGTGGGCTGTGTGTGTCGCCACCGCTTCTGCGCCTGGGGATAGCCGCTCCATCGGATCGTAACCGCACTCTGCAAAGGAGCCAGGGGCAGGGGGCATGGGGCAGAGGTCAACCCTGGCCAAGTCTCGGAAGGATCTGCCAACCCCCATGCCAAACACTACGTGCTAGTCTAGGGAGCCAGTACAGTAAAGCCTCGTTCAGCCAGATACTACAACTCTGCAATGAAAGGACAGGCTTAGCACACAACTCGGTAATAGGGGGAGGCCTAATCTGCACCCACAAAGTGATTTGGAACTCGGTGCTTCCAAGCTGCAGACAGCAGTGATGCTATCACAAAATGAATCCTGTCTCCATGTTAAAGCCAGGAGGATTTCAACCTGGAAAAGCTTTGGTGCTAGTTTGGCCCACAATACATTCTGAAGCAGTTCAGACACTTCTGAGAATGAGCATCTAGTTGGTCTGAAGCATTGAGGCTTGACTGTACCAAAGTCACTAGTACCCCACAAGCAAAGGAGAGGCCCCTGGGACCTGAACACACCTATCCTCAATCTCTCCAGAAAAGGATTATTTCTAAGAGGCTTTTTCAGATCTTGGACCACCAGCCATTGAAAAGTAAGCACTGTGTCACTGAATAACCCCTGCAGGGATTCGAATGTGATCAGGAAGGCCAGCCCTCACCCTGCGTCTGCTGCAAGCTGTCCTGCATCCTCTTTCAGGTCCACCTTTTTAATCTGTTAAATGGGCATAATATTCCGTGCCCACCTTCAGGTCAATTTGAAAGCACATTGAAGATAAACAGTTCTACACATAAGAGATTTGGCTGCATCCTATGGAATCACAGGGAGGGGACGGAAGGCTGGATGTGGCCAGGGGGAGGGGGGAGGGTGGTGTGTTGAGAATGGATTTTGACTAGAGACCAAGTTCAACGTGGCCAGCTGTACTTTGGATCCCAGTGCCAGCAGCCAAGCTAAGCAATGCCGGTGAGAGCCCCAACAGGGCCAAAGCAGAGGAACCAAAGAGAAGTATTAAGAAAACAAGAACAGAAAGAAGGGAGACAAGGGAAGTAGGAGGCAGAGGAAAAGAGGCAGAAGATATGGTCCTCCTAGAAGGCAGAGGACCAGGACGTTTTCATCTACCTGTCCCCGTCTTCCACCTCCTTGCCCTTCACTGTCCTACCATCACAGTGCCCTGAGCTATTTACTAAACTTAAAAGAATATGCTGAAAAGAGGCTGAATTAGGACATCTGCTGTGTTCCCATTGCAACCGATTTTTTATTTTTTGGCTTTATCTGCAAACACCCACACATGTGAGTTTGTCACATGACCCCCTTCCACTGGAAAAAACATAGCTTATCACATTTTGTGAGTCTGATTTAAAAAGCAGTAAGAAACTGTCAGCTTTTCTTTTTCTTTTCTACTTATTCCCTCATTTATCATTTTAAGAAGCATGTAATCTGGAGTACACCTGTTCTCAGAAGGATGCTGTAGCTCCTTGCCTGGGAGAAAGGTCATGTGACACAGCCCCACCCACACATGGGGAATAAAAACTTGGGCAAATCTGCTCTCACCAAAAAAGTGGGTGGAGTCGAGTGTCAATTTCTCCCAACACATGTGTAGGTGTGGGTTTTCTGTTTGTGTGGTGCATTTCAGAGAGCATTGTGCTTTTATGTGTTAAATATAACAACTCAGGTCTTCAACAGAAAGCTGGGAGGAGATGCAGGAACTGGAGAGAGGTGGGAAAACACTTGCCAGTTTGCATCTCTCTCTCTCTCTCATTTATTATTATTATTCTTGTTTAAATACAAAGCAACGAGTTCCCAACACGTCTTTCCTCCTCCTCCTCCTCCTTCCCCTGCCACCCAGGCCAGATCATTTCATACCCGGCATTCTGGGGCCAATGCCAGGCTAGCCAGGGTGCCCATCTCCTGGAGAACAAGGAGCTACAGCCTCCCACTTCTCTCCTCCCCGCCCCCTGGATTCCCCTAAGTCAGATTTGAGCAGGCATGTCACTAGCAGGACAAAATGAACCCACATTTCCTACCGGCCCATCACCCCCCCAAAGCCGTAATCCGAGATGTGCTCTGTGGGGGACTGGAGGTCATTTTTGGAGGAGGCCTTGTCATCCAACAGTGGTCCGCTGCTGGCCTCGCTGTCAGCCTTCTGGCTCAGGCTGTCGGAGAAGGCATCATCCCTAGGGAGAAGACAGACATGAACTGGAGGTGCCTCCTGTGGGAGAGCCCAGATGGACAGGGCTACTCGATACCTGAGGGGCTGAATCAACACACACCTTACCGCTAATCTGTGCCCACAGCTCGGGAGGATACCTCTGCCCACTCACGGGCTTCCTCTCGTGCATACCCATGGCAACGCTCCTGGAGTCAGTTTCCACAGCAGGAGGCCCTCTTTCCTCCCACCATCCCTCCTCCTCTCTGCTCCTCTAGCCAGGTCTCACCCAGGCCTCTCTAACCTAGGACAAGCTATGTGCTGAAGGGAGGATGGGAGAAATGACAGGAGGCGTGTGCAGGGTGAGTGCCCAGCTCGCAGCCTCTGTCTGGCTCCATGAGGAATAGTTTAGGGCTAAGCAAGCCAGGAAGGAGGTGCCTCCATCCCTTACCTCCCCACCCAGGGCTTGGGACAATTGTGAGGTGGCTTACAGCCTGTCAGAGTGCTCTGGCAGCCTCCCTCCACCCTCCTTCCAGCCTTCTCCCTTCTGTGACTTTCTCCTGCCCTCAGCTACCCGGGGACATTGGGAGGCAGCCAAAAGCCCTCCACTATGGCATTCCTTCTGTGCTTTGCTTGGCCCAGGCCTTTCTCCCATCAAAACATAGGCTTTTAAGTCCCCTTCCCTTGAGGTCTAGCTTGGAGGCTGCTTCTCTGGCAAATCGGTTCAGCTGAGCCTGTCCAGAGCTCATAGGGAATGTGGGCCTTTGTGGCTCTCAAAGGAATAGACAGCATAGACTTTCTGTGGTAGGCATTTGGGATGCAGGGCTCTTTTTTTAAGCCCTGAAAGTATAAAAATATAGTATAAAAAAATTAACTGGAAGTGAGGGCATGGTGTTTTTGCCCATCCCCTGAGACAGCCCCCTCTGGAATGTAGAATGGTGGACAGTTGAGGAGGTGATGGGCTGGCTACTGCTTCAAGGCAGGGCCAGGAGGAGGAGGCACTGGAGGCCTCAGAGAGTAATGAATCCTGGACCAGGATGCTGGGCCAGGGGCAGCAAACATTGTCTCTATATTCAGAGAGATGAGAAATTTGCATATTTGCTAAATGGATCACCATTTAAAGGGAATTAGATCTAACTCACTGGTAGAGAAGACCAAGCATGTACCAGGGAGAGCAGGTCTTAGGCATGCAGCCCTGCACCCCTTCCAGGGCCCAGTCCAGACATCACTGACCTATTACATCACCTTTACAGAAGGTCCCCCTCTCACTCACATGTCCTGCACCACTATGTACTGATGAGGGATGAGTCCGTCCACGCCGTTGTGCCGGCCCTCCCACCAGTCCTCCGAGGCGCGGTGGTAGAGGAGCAGTGAGGCCCCCTTCTTGAAGGACAGCTCACGTGGGGACCGTCCCACATAGTCAAACTTGGCGATAGCCTCAATCTGCTCCACTTCTGGAAGGAAAGTGAGGGAAAGAGCATCCCTGAAGTCATCAGAGGGGCAGTCCAGGAGCCACACTCAGCTGGCCCTGGCTTCTATGGGGACGGACAGACAGCACACTGGGTGAGGACACATGGGCTAGGGCTTGGCAGCTGAGGCCCACTCTCCACTTTGCAGTCTCAGGCCAGCCCTCCAGGTTCTCAGGATGTGCCGCTGGAGCTGATACCCACATCCTTATTTTCCACTGCCCCTTTGGGTCCCTACTTCATGAGGCTCATTCAAACAACATATGAAGGAATTATTCTTCTACACCTTAACACAAGTTCTGTTTCTATTTTTCCATGAGCCCTTTCCCTCTTTGTCCACTTAAAATACTTTTAGTGGTTCTCAACCTTTGGGGAGGTCAAACAGATGGTGTATGTGGACCCTCATCTGTGCAAAATGTGGTACATGATTTCTAAAGGCTCATTGTTAAGGACTGAATTGTTTCCCAAAAATTTATATGTTGAAGCCCTAACCCTCAATGTAACTGTATTTGGAGACAGGACCTTTAATTAAGGTAACTGAAGTGATTAAAGTTAACTGAGGCCATAAGGGTGGGGCCCTAATCCAATAAGATTGGAGTCTTTATAAGAAGAGGGAGAGACACCCACTATCTCCCTTGCCCCTATATATGGGCTGTTCTCATAGAGCACATAGTTAGGAAGGGAGGCCTCACAAGAGACCAACCCCAGCAGCACCTCAAGCTTGGACTTCTAGTCTCCAGAACTATGAAGAAATGTCTGTTGTCTAAGCCACTCAGGCTATGGCATTTTGTTATGGTAGCCCCAAAAGACCAATACACTCACTCACAGATTTAATTTGGTAGAAGAGGGAATTCTTATTTGCTCCACAGCTCAAGAACATCCACCCGTTAAACATTTAATCTTCTCCAGGCAGTGACAGGCCCTGACAGGCTAAAGCAATGAACACATTTATGGCTTTCGTCCTTGAAGCACTCCTCCTAATCAGCTCTGTCACCTCCTGTCCATGTGACCTCAGGCAGGTCACACAACCTCTGTATACCTCAGGTGCCATACATACTGTAGGGTGTGTTAGGAGAATTGAAAGCTCCTGAACAGAAATGCATAGCTTAGTACAAGCATATACTAGGTATTCAGTTGACGGTAGCTGCCATGACTGTGATTATGTCATTAATGGTTTAGCCTACAGGTAGGTCCAGAGAAGAGACCCAAACTGCAGACCATACAGCTAATGATATTTGAGAAAGAGGCTTTTGGGGGACTAGGAGGATTGTACCTACAACTTATTTCCTCTGTGTTATAGTTCATACCCTAAGGGGTGCCCACGCTAGATAGAAAACTGACTGTGCCTATGTTTTTATATCTTAAGCACTAAGATGTTTAATATTATTTAAGGAATTGTTTTATGTTAATAGAACAAAAGAGTAGCAAAAGCAACCCCTGGTCTCCCGAGTCTGCAGATCATTTCCCTGTACTGAGCTTCCTCGGCACTTCCTATCTGCTCCATTTATTGTGAATGGTTTTGTTTCTGTCTATCCACCTGTCTATCACAGAGTTAAGGTCAAAACATTTATCTTTAGCGCTTTTTAGCTATGTGATCTTGGGCTACTTAGTTCTCCTTTCTAAGCCTCAGTTTCCACATCTGTTAAATGTAAATGACAATAATAGTACCTCCCTATCTTCTAGGGCTATTGGGAGGATTAAGTGAGAACATGAAGTGCTTGCACATTCCCCCAACATACAGCTACTCTGTGTGAGAGTTACACACTTCTTGTTGCTGCTGCTGCTATGATCATTACTAGAGACTGATGAGCTTCTAAGGACCATAGGTGACAATGGTAGACCCACGAGCAGAGGGAGGAAACGCCTTTGTTCATCTTCCCTATCACCCCCAACACACACCAGGGCTCCCCTCTGTAAGCACCTGGCTCAAGATGACCATGCAGTGGCTTTGGGACAAATGCAGTCCCCAGTGACTCAGACAGCCTTCTGCAGGGAGTGGGCCTCACACAGTTAAGTCAGTTTTCCCCAGCTGGCCCCCCTGACAATGTCTTCACATGCTATTCTCACATAGGCTATGGGGGGCTTTGGAGGAGGAAGAAGAAGGTACCCGCATTGCTAAATGGGTCAAATGAACTCAGATCTTGATTCAGTCACCTCCTCAGCAAAACAGGGAGATCTCGATCCCTCTCTCTGCAGCATCTTGAATCTCATACCCATCTCTGTAGCCCATCTGCCTGCCTAGCTACAACACACAGACAGGCCAGAAGGTCTGCAAGACCAGAAGCTGGGCCCAGACTGCTACATGCACTTGAAGGCTCACCCCAGGACTTCCTCTGACCCAGATTCCCCACACTGGTAAAGGTGCTGACCCAGGCAGAGGTTTTCTGATGCTCAGAGGAGCATGGGGGGAGGGGGGGGCTGCCTAGGGTTCCTGGTTTCTGTTTTCCCATCCCCAGACCCTCTGGCAGTCACTGGTGGCCTAGAACTGAACGGGAGGGGAAGGAGTAGCAAATGTACGAGAAGGAAATAGGAGGAACAGGGCTGAAGCACAAGCTAAGAGACAGCACGTGTGTTGGAGATGTCATTACATAACTGTGTGTGGTAGAAACAGTAATAATAGCTACGGCTGATTAGTAAGTCTGTTATTTGGGTTTCTCATGCCTCAAACAGAATATGTGATTCTTCCCCTCACAACTCCCCCATATTCTGTCCCCCAAAGGTATCTCCCTCACCTAAGGAGGGAGATCCCCTCACTGTCTACCCCCTTGCTCAAGTCAAAGCCTGGGCATGGGTCCTGAGGGCCATATCCCTGACCCATCAGTAATTCCTCTAAACTGTCCCCTGGACCTGACCACCCCACTGTGCCACCCAGGGCAGCCCACTGTTTTCCCTCAGTCTGGCCTTGTCAATTTTATACCTGCTTGAGTACAGCCATTTCTCCCCACAGCAGCTGGAGGGTCTTTTAAAACCATAAATCAGATCATGAAACTCATCTGATCAAAACCCTCCAAAGGCTTTTTGTGCTGAGAACAAAACCCTAATATCCTCCCTCCCCGCTCTGGGTTCTTGTCTCATAAGCCTTTTTGATGTTTCTCCTCCAGCATTAGATTTGACACCACCTAAATTCTACTACCCACATTTTTACTATACTAGCTTTATCACATGTTAATCTATCCCTCTATTTAATAATCCATCTTTTCACCAAACTTTTATTTTTTTAAATAGAGCCTCAATCTGTTGCCCTGAGTAGAGTGCTGTGGCATCATAGCTTACAGCAACCTCAAACTCCTGGGCTCAAATGATCCTCTTGCCTCGGCCTCCTGAGTAGCTGGGACTACAGGTGCCTGCCACCATGCCCAGGTAATTTTTCTATTTTTAGTAGAGACAGGGTTTTGCTCTTGCTCAAGCTGGTCTTGAACTCTTTAACTCAAGTGATCCACTTGCCTCCCAAAGTACTAGGGTTACACGCATGAGCTACCACACCCAGTTTTATTCCCCTTACTTTTTAATGAATTTTAAATTAAGTCATAGACAGCAGGACACTTTACCCTAAACACTTCAGCATAAATATTCACAAAGCCTTCTTGATTCTTTTAAAACATGCCCAGTTTTCTGCTGCCACAGGGCCTCAGCCTCCCAAGTAGCTGGGATGCAGGTGCCCACTACCACACCCAGAGGACCTCTTAATGCCCTCTCTGGGATGCTTTTCTCCCAGATCTCTGCATTCATGCTCATTCACACTGATTAACCACTGTGTGCCATTTCCTCATTTCCTCTGACTGTATTCAAATGCAATTGCCTTAGCAAGGCCTTTCCTGACCAGGGCCATCCAACCGCCAAAGCACTTCTTATCTTTTCTTGCTTTATTTTTCTTCATAGCCCTTATCACAACCTGAAATCACATTTGTATGTGCACGCTGTGTGTGCATATGTGTGTCTTGTGTCAGTGTGTGAAGTGTAGTTTGGGGGGTTTTGTTGTTGTTGGCATTGAGACAGAGTCTCACTCTGTTGCCCGGGCATCAGCCTAGCTCACAGCAACCTCAAATTCCTGGGCCCAAATGATCCTTTTGCCTCAGCCTCCCAAGTAGCTGGGACTACAGGAGCCCACCACCATGCCTAGCTAGTTTTTCTATTTTTTAGTAGAGATGGGGGTCTCACTTTGCTCAGACTGATCTCAAACTCCTGGGTTCAAGTGATCTTCCTGCTTCTCCCTCCCAGAGTGCTAGGTGGCATGAGCCACCACACCTGGCCTCAAATGCATAGTTTTCAATATTTATAGTTCCTTTACTATCAGTCTTTCCTACTAAAGTGTGAGTATCATTCATATAGGGATTTCATTTTATTTCCCACTCCTAGAACAGACCCTAGGTCCAATAGGCACTCAGTATATATTTGTTGCTTGCATAAACAAAGTAAGCTTTTACCAATGTTAAGTGATCTACTTACATTATCACATTTAATCCTTACAATAGTATTTGAGGCATTATCCTCATTTTTCAGATGAGGAAACTGAGGCTGAATTTAAATAATGTGTCCAGGTACAGGGCATACAAGTAGAGAGCTCAGGTGCCAGATTACCATTAATAGACACTTCTCAATGGTTTTTTTTTTTTTTTTTGAGACAGAGTCTCACTTTGTCACCCTCGGTACAGTGAGTCACATCAACCTCCAACTCTTGGGCTTAGATGATTCTCTTGCCTCAGCCTCCCAAATAGCTGGGACCACAGGCACCCGCCACAATGCCCAGCTATTTGGTTTTGTTGTTGTTGTTGTTGCAGTTTGGCCGGGGCCGGGTTTGAACCCTCAGTATATGGGGCTGGCGCCCTACTCACTGAGCTACAGGTGCCGCCCCTTGCTTCTCAATGTTTTTAAACAGGCTGAGTTTATTCCTGCCACAAGGCTTTTGCACTTGCATAATTCCATTGCAGAGTGGAATTATGAAAATACAGATATATGCTGAATGTTGATATTCAATTCAACTCTTGCTT